TGCAATATTTTTTTAAAAATTTTTTTTTTCAATGGCAGCATTATATTAACAATTCAGCCTCTAACTCCCTAGTTTAATTTTGACTAGAAGAGACAATAGGCTATAGCAGAATTTACATTTTCACTAGGAAAACTGGCACAAAGACAGTACTAAATTTCTTTTGTTAAGACTGATTTCTGCATTATGATAAAGTGCTCCAAACTGAAAATGTGTACAGTATATCAGCATAGTTTTATATTCTCTTCCAATGACTGTTAGCCTTAGCTGCCCATGGGAATCACCAGGGGACTCTCAAAAGACACAGTCATGCTACTGGATATCGTGATTTAATCCTCAGGGAGAAATACATGTGTAGGAATCCTCCACATGGGATTCTGATGCATATTTAGCACTGAGAAACACTGCTATTCTTCAGTAATATGTATCTACCAGAAACTGTGATCAGAGGCTTTTTTTATACTGTGAGTTGTTAAACATGGGGATAATTATCTCTTCAGATTCTGCCTGCATTGATTTGGTATTTTTTCTATGCTGAATTATTTAGGAATTTATAGAAACTTTGTTGATCTCTTTAGGGAATCCAGCAGCAGGGAAAATAATACTCACCCTGAATGGAGTTTCACCACTGTGCGAAAGAAGCCTGATCCAAAGAAACTACAGAATGGAGCAGTATGTATATAAAGATGATTAGCTCCTTTTGATAGCTCTCACTACAGTGAGTTTATAATACTAGTTAGACTTTAACATCCCTAAATGTCTGTTTTTCTCACTGTGTACACAATATTATTTATCTTTAATTTTGAACCAATTAAAAGAAAATTTCAAAACAAATGATAATGGAAGTCATTTGAGTAGTCACTAGTATCCTTAATGCAATTCACCTTGAGATACAGAAGCCTAAAGAATCATAGACATCTCCTGTAATCCTAGAAGACAGGGGTCTTAGGTTGATGAATGGAAGCTAGAGATATGAAGAAAACATAGTGACTTGCTTTATCTTGTATCTTGAGGGAGATATCCAAAGTAGTTCACATTCTTTACAGAATAAGTAGGAATATCATGAATGATTGTTGCAATTTCATGTGTATAACATATTTATTTATTCAAAGGAGCAAGATCTTGTGCAAACCCTGAGCTGTTTGTCTATGATAATCACACCTGCATTTGCTGAAGTAAGTGCAGGCTTTTTAGCATTGGATCTCTACTTTAAGTAGTACAGTATTTTAGATATTATAGTTATCAATCTTTCTCAGCTTAAACAGCAGGATGAGAATAATGCAAGCAGGAATCAGGCAATTGAAGAACTCGAGAAAAGTATTGCCGTAGCTGAAGCCGCCTGCCCGGGCATCACAGATAAAATGGTGAAGAAGTTAATTGAAAAATTTCAAAAGTAAGCTGAAAACGTCATTCTTATCTATTAATTGTTGGCCATTATTTTACAATGCAATATCATTATTTTGATGCAGTCATTTAAATTATTCTTACAAAATCATTTTCTAAACGTTGTGTGCTTCCGAACAGTTTGTTGCTCATCTTAAAATTTAAAAGAATATGACAAGATAGTTTCCCACTGAATGAAATGGCTTCCTCCACACCTTTTCCCTAAAGGAGTGCAGACAAAAGGTCTTATTCAAGCACTTGAAAACTTTACTTAGGCATGATTTTATTCTTCTTTATACTCCCCTCAGTATATGCAGAATCATCACTATTCATGGAGTATCCAGTGCTAAAGTTCCTGAGTTTGTCCCTCATATGAAAAATTAAGGAAAAGACCAGGCAATAAAAGGCTCTTATGTTCAACTTCAATTTCTATACTTTCTCTTGAATTGCTGGTTTCATTTGATTCAAAAAAGTTCTTCTAATTTTAAAATTCTTTCTTCAAACAAGACTTTTGTACAAACATATACAGATACATTCCTTAGCTAAAGCACACTATATAGAAAGTTATACAAAATTTCAGTTTATACTTGTTGTATCTCTTTTTGATGTACCTTTGTATTTGCTTGTATTCTTGATGCCACTAGGATCAAGTTGGTACGATCTGAATGACCCGTAAAATCACACACTCTTAAAGAGCTTTCTATGTATTTAAGCCCACTTTTACTCCTAAAGCCCCCTTATAATCCCTTCTGTTATAATGGAAAAACTCGATCTGCTTTTCAATTCACGAGCAAATCAATTGAAAGCTATGAAAGCAGATGTTTATATTTTAGCATTTACATGGTGACTTTCAATCAAAAGAATTTATCTTGTTTGATGAATCAGTTCCTTCATCATGAAGTTCATAGACAAGTGAGAAGTATAAACATGTATCATGGTACATAAACTTAAACCTTTCTTACTTTTGCAGGTGTTCTGCAGATGAATCCCACTAAGAAACCTTATCAGTTGGCTTGTGTTTCGTATGGACCCAGAGAAACCCACCAAAGCTACTTCAAGATTAATGATGCTTTACTCATGAGCTCCATGTGCCTTTTGGATCTTTGCAACATTGAAGATTTGGAAGAAGCTATTCAACTATTTTGTGATGGTGTTTATCATTTTATATTTTAAAGAGATTATTTTGTAATGAATAATTTTTAATACTATAGTTTCACCTGTATTGTAGTAAATGTTGAGATACAGTTTTACTTTTAGGTATCATTATTTCTTAAGTTACAAGGAAAAATGCTTTTCAAGTTTTGATCTTTAGTTAACTGTACACTCATGAAACATGCAGGTCTTGAGAAATCATTCTAAAATATTCAGCTCTGGTAAACTATCAAGTTGCAGAAAGTTTCTTTGTACACAAGCAGATTAACAAAAATGATTCTTTGTGGGAGGATGGAAATAAGTCATACCTTCTTAAAATAGAAGTTTTTAAAGAGGCTCTTGGAAATGAAACCTTGGAAGGTTTTGACTCTTAACACCAAGTTGCTCTGAATTCAGGAAGCTCAATGATGATCACATTTGAGAGCCCTGTTTAAAGCATGTATAGGCAACATGTAGCAACAGAAGTACTTCTTGGTGTGCAATATTCATCTTCTCTGTTAGGTGAAAGAGGCAATTAACCCATATTTAATATGGTTAGACATTCGAAGTAATGTCACTATTGGTTTTTGGTAACACTGGAAGAATTTGTCTGGTTTCATTCTTTAAATCTTCAACACAAATGCATATTATATGCTTGGATTTAGAGCTTCTAACAAAGCTAATTGTCCTGTGATTAAATACCTGATCAACAGGTATGAATATAACTTACACCAGCATATGTTTGTCATTGCAGTAAATTGTTCTATAAAATATTTATATGCTTTTATTCTTCATAATTCTCAGTATATAAGCAGCATGTGTTCATTTTTGAAAGGGTATTTAAATGAGTATTTTACAGTTCATATGAAAATAATCATAGTACAGAATGATTTCTCTCCATACAAAGGTAAATTAGGCTGTACAGTTAATGTTCATTTGTATTTATGGTACTGTTAAGTGGGTAATACCTTTTTCTTTTAAGACCAGTATATATATTGTGCTTGCCTATTTGCTGAATGGGGAGTATCTATCAGTAGTTGTAGATTTGTTTATGTTAATTACTTTTGATAGTTAATGTTTTATTGTTTGGATCTGCATATTTGGTTTTTGCACAAATAGTTCTTTAAAAATTTGAATATTCACCAAATATTAGAAGACAGCTGTTCTGCCAACAAAGAATACAGTTTAGTTCAAGTAGCCATTGTAACTTTTCTCTAATTCAGACACTTGAAAAAGTTGTGTCATATGACAAGAAAATTAGTTTCTTTGGTGCCTATAACAATTACTTTTAATGCATTACATTTGGAAGTAATGATTCAGTTAAATATTTTGCCTGCTATGTAATTTAATTATAGTTTATAATCTATAGAGCTCTGAAAATAATTTTGCAATTCATACCATGGATCAAATCAATATTTTTGTAAAAGTAAAAGCAACAAATTTATAGATCGATTGTTTGAAACCTTACAACACAATGGCATCATAGACACAAGTTGTATTGCTTATTCATTATAGTTACTAGTCTTGGAAACTGTTTCTAAGTAAAGTATATGCCAGTGTTTTGGAGATTTTGAAAAATAAATATTTAAATTTCATGATCTTCAGTGTTTGTTTTCTTGGAGGGGTTATGGTTTGATGTTTTAATTTAAGGTTTTTTTTCTTATTTCCCTTTAGATTTATTACTGGAATATTAACTAGTATTTGACCCTAGAAGAAAGATATTTTTCACATTTTATTAAGTATTTATTATAGCTACACTGAACATCTGTCCTGATTTCTACCTCCCATCTTGAAAAATTATTCATAAAATCCCCTTTAAGAATGTTCTAGGTTAGATAATAAATTATACAGTTCCCCTAACTACTGTCTTACTAGAAAGACATATGTAGATTTGAGTGCTACAGCTCTTGAAGAAAACACAAAGTAAACAAAGATGTTCAGAAATTGAGATGAGAAATAATGTACAGCATAAAAGAGTTGGAGCTTTTTCTACAGAAAAGTTTGAGGTTAAATAGCTTCATGAATCTACAGAATTAACATATAAAGAAATGGGTTTCAGTATATTATTATTAAATAACTACTCTAGACCTGTGAGTTACTGCATATGTGTCTAGGAAAAGGAAAGCGGTAGGATGAAGTTCTCCAAAAGGAGTATTTCAGGTACAAGGAACAGGACAGTGAGGAAACTATTTTATCCATCTTCTTTTCATTAGGTTATATATAAAAACAACTTGTCTGTACATTGTTTCTTGTCTTTGAAGTTTGCATTTAACATTATGTTTAACAGTGTGTTGCACTTAGCATTCAGGTCGATAAACAAAACAAAGATCTCATGCTGAATGGGTCCGGGGTAGAATTTGGCTCACTGACACAGTATGGTGTCAGTACTACCATTTTGCTTTTCAACACCGTCAGTTCCAGTTCTCCATCCTTGACCATACGTTTCCTCTTGCCTCCTTTTGCCTGTTCTGTAATTGTCTTGGCCCTAGTAATAAACCAGACTCAATCACTTCTGAAATTGATTCAACACAAGGAAGACCATACTTGTTTTTTAATGGAATAGATTTTCCATCACTCTTTATTAAAATGGCATCTCATTTCCTTGCCTACAAGCATGCAACAAGATAGGACAAAAATAAATTCTGGCAGGAGAGATTCAATCAGCAAATGGACCTGTTAACTTTTCTCCTTCACTACACAGATAGTTAAGAATAGAGAAGTTGTAAGTCAAACATCGTAAGGTCCTCATCAGGCATATAACTGGCTTTAGAGATGTACCTACTTCATGAATTTCATGGGCTTAGAATTCTGTCAAATACAATATTAATTGTAAATTTGTGTTGTGTTGAGAGATTCTATGCTATCGTCTTGTTTCTGACATTGTAGGAGAAACATGCTCCACTATATGTGTATGCTGTGTAAGTATAAAATGACCAACACAGCCCCAGTCTACCCAATCACAAATGTTATTAAAAGCCAGTTCATCATGCCAACTCACACTGTTACCATTGTTCAGTATTGAAGAATCTGTCTTTCATGTTTACTGTTTCAATGAAGTATATAATGGAGATGACAAAATCCACCCTGTCACACTGCTGGAGAAGAGAGGACATGTTGAGAGGGGACTAGAAGAGTGACGCTAGGGGATTCAGTGTTAGCTGGATCTTTCCTAAGCCAGGTTCCAAAAATTAAAAAAATTCCCTTAACACCAATGAAGAGTGACCTACAATATGATTTATAAACAAGTTGCCGATTTTTTAACCTAAGGTGGTAAAGGAACTGGCTTGGAAATACAGAGTTCACGCTTTTAGGCTAAGAAGTAATTACATGGTTTTAGCAAAGTCCTGTCTTCAGTAGTCGATGTGCTGAAAGAAACTTCTTCGTCTTCTTCATCTAGCTGCAGACTACCAGAGGACAAGCGGATTCTGGCCATTGGTGACTTTATTCCTTTGCCATACAAAGAGTAGTAGTCTGGTTTAAGAATCTCAGACTCGGAATCACTGGATTCACTAGCTACATACCTTTCTGCTGCAGTCTGATCCATTAGAACTTCTGGGAACTCCTGCTCTGTAAACATACATGTGAATAGGTCTGCTTTACAACTCAGAGCGGGACAAGGCCCCAAAGGTCTAAATTCTGACCCAAAAGGAAAACGAATGGCTTTCATGTCTGATTGGCTCTGAGATCGTTTAGGGGTTGGCTCTTGAATATTATACGCAAATGCATCTTCTAAATTTGGGTCTTCTTCTACATCTACATGGATGTTGCTCCTGCCACTAGTCCTGGGCATAGCTTCTTGGAATTCTTGAAGGTCTTGCCGAAAGCTCTTCAGCCGGATATTCCGTGTGCTTCTTTTGGCTGGCTTTATTGCAGTGGGCTCTGTGTAGCTGTCTTGTGTTAGCTTTTCCTCTGCCATTACCGGTGACTGTCTGGTTACTTGGGGTGGCTTGTCCACATAAAAGAAGACTTGGGGAGGCATAATATCAACCTTCTGACTAGTACAAGGAATATAGGGCACATCTGTGTAAGTTAGCTGCCTTGCTGCACTCACTTTGCTTGTGAGGCCAGAAGATGTTCTTACGTGATTGTCAGCAAATTTAGAACTTGTTTGGAAGGAACTTAGAGGACTCCTTTCTTCAAAGAAGTCTCTGGGATCTGGATCAGGGTCAGTGTTAAAAACAGAATCTGAATAAATAAAAGGGAATGAGGAACTGCTTCTGGACTGATGTAATAATATTAGATCGGCCTCTGGTTTAGAATGCTCCAGCTCAACTGCAAACGTCACCTCTACTGCAGAGTTCCTCCTCCTCCTGCTGTCCAGCACAGGCTCCGAGGCATGTGCTCCGTTCACATTTCGGTAGTATCCACTGCCATATGTTAGTCTCAAGTCTTCCACCTTGAAAGAAAGGACATGTTGGTGAAAGGATAAAAAGCTATTTGGTTGAGGTGGGGGGTAGGGCTGTAACTTGCCCTTGAATTTTGAAAGGTTGGCTTTCACAGTCATTTCAATCCATGTTCTATTCCTGAGTTGCTAAATATATATGTAAAGGGTAATAACCTATACCATATCCCAAGTCATGGGTTAAAAAGTATTAAAATGTGTTAGGTACATGTGCCAATTCCCATGAAGAATGCAATCATTATGTACTGCAAACATTTACTCATAAAAAACACACACAAAAAATAAAATTTATGATATGAACCAGCTAAAGGAAAAACTGAAGGTTTGAAAATCTTTTTTTAAAAGTACATTAAAAAATAAATAAAAAGTACGTTGACACTGTTCTTTTTCAGTTACATCACACTTCCAGCCATCTTGTTTTCTGCTTAAAATGTGCGCTTTAAGTAGTTTGATTCAGTACCCATATCAATGACCTTCCAGATCCCGGTTCTGCCTTTGACTTGCTGTGTGACCTCAGGCAGATCCCCTAACCTCCCTGCTCCAGCCTTCTCCCAATTTTCTGCAAAATGGTAGGAGGAAAGCTATGAGTGGCACAGGAAGTTCATATGCTAGAGGATAATTTTAGCCATTATACCTTTAATGCTTTTTGAATACAAATTACCAGTGACTTGAATGAAAGCACAAGAGTTTCTTTTTTTATTTTAAAAGGAATAAGAAAAATCAGAATCTCAGAATGTCACAAGAGTTTCTGAGACTCATAATTGATCTTTATAGAGACATCTGAAAAACAATGATTCATAAAGTTGCTACTGTAAAGCTCAAATGAAGTTATCATGTCACAGGTCCAGGGAACAATAATTTCTCATTAAATTAAACAAATAAGCAGCAGAAATACTTTAAAACCTAACACAAGGCCACATACCTTTCTCTAAGTCTTGAGATTTTCATCAGTTAAAAAGAAAAAGCAGAGCTCTTCGTTTTAAAAATACAAAGCCATACAAATTTATTTGGATCTGCACCCACATGATATTAACAATACTGGTTATAATTTGAAAATATACCAGATTTACCTAGTGTTTTAAGTCCACACTGGTGGCAGTTCAACACACAGCCTTCCATTGATTGGAAAGATTAAGCCAGTAGCCCTCTGGAGGAGGCCAGCCTACTTGAACAGAATGACTATCATACACATTGGGAGACTGGCAGAATCAATTTTTGGGAGCATCTGAAATTGGGATAAATTATGTTTATTAAATAAAGAAGTAGGAATTTTCAGAAAACTTACTTGTTTTGATACATCAGAGAGTATGTCAGGGGAGGACCTGCACTGTCGTTCATTGTACTGAGATGGGTAATGTTTCCTGCAATCCCCAGAGAGAAGTCATTGAAATGTCCATCATGGAAATACCAGGATGCACACAAATCGATAAGTTCAATTTAAAATCAGCAGGACGAAAGAAAAAACATGTACCTTTCAAACGGTAAGCTCTTCAGCCTCCCCTTTTTCCCATATTCCAGAAGTTGTCTTTGGGTTCTCCCACTGTTATAAAGATGAATTAAAAATCATTAATTTCAGTCATAAGCCAATAGGTTACTAAAACTTGAATGTTTCGCTTAATGTTAAAACCAAAAGCGTCTGGATGAATTAATATGATGTGAATTTTTTTTACCTATGACAGTAATGGTAATACCAACTTATCCAACAACCAGGAATAAATAGGGCAACCTCAACTACATGAACCTAAATCTTTTTAAAAAATTTTAAAAAGCCAACTAGCTTATTTTATATACCACGTCCATGCCAGAAAAAAAAAACCCAGCTAAATAAATGGCAGAAGAGGATTGCTCACGTCAGGCATACACCAGCAAAGAAATCCATCTGCCTATTAGAAAAAACAAGAATCGAAAAAGAAATCGCGAGAATAATAAAACCTAAAAAGTCTGGGCTGTTTATCACTGAACTGCAGGGCCTGACATGCCTCCCCCGCCCTGAGGCCATCACCACACTGCAGCTGCCTGGAGAGGATAATAAGTGATGTTTATAATAACTCAGGTCATTAAGAAAAGGGCAAAATATGCTCAGTATCATCTGTTTAAGAAGGCAGGGATTTGTAGAATACACTTTGGAAACCTTCCATTAAAAATGTTTTTTTTTTAAATAACTCAATTCTTTCTGGGGAAGACTTCTACTACTTGAAAAAAATCCCTGGTGTGGAAGCATTCGATTAGAATTTTTTAAATCTTAGCTAAGAGTTTTGAAAGCTTCTTCAATGAGTTCCTAGGCTGGTGTGTTCAAGTAAAAACAAGATCTTAATTCAATTTCGCTTCCACTCTTCTGAGGTGTGACTTAGAGCTACACCTCTCTCAATCTTTTTTAATCCTGTATCCCCTCCAGGGCTCTGTCATGCTATCTTTTGCTTAAAAATCATCCAAAGGATGTTGAGCTTTCCTTTCCATGGTTTGCATATTAAGTTGCATGAAAGGGAAACAATAGGTTCATTGAAGACGTACTTGCAAACTGCTCGTGCCCCCTTTTCTTGCTGCAATTCTGATCCAGTGTCACAGGTAAGTTACTCCCCTCTCCTGTCTCCTAGTTTGGAAGTATGGCTTTAATGTGGCATATCCAGAATGAGAAGTAAAGGATATAATCTTTTTTAAAGGGTATATAACCTTTTGAATAATTGAAGTGATTTCTTTATTGTTTCTACAATTTGTACACTTTCTTTTGCCTTCCGTGCTATTGGAAAGAAGTAGTGTACATAGTTTTCCCCTGTGAAGTGTTTAATTACCTATAGCGGAAGCTGGAACCCTTGCTGCAAAGTAGGGTTTTGGGCTTCGACTTGGGCTCTTCAGAAAGCCTGAAGAAAGCATGGTACTCCACACAAGTTTTCCAGAAAGCCTTGCAGGCATCTCGGCTGGCCATGGTGAACTCCAAAGTGTCCTTGCACAATACCTGTACAAAACAATTTCCATCAAGTAAACATCTTTTGAGAATATCAAAGACCTTCAAATCCCAGTGTCTTCTGAACCATCTGTCCAGGGCAGCCTATGCAGCTTCTGATTTTCCATTTGGCTTCCTGTGGATTTCACACCTACTGAAACCAAAGGATTGGCAACCTTCTGAGGAATAGAAAGGGCCAGTGTTCACAAACAAAGCGTTTTCTAAGATAGCAGGCCTGCCTTCTGCATTCCTTTCACTTTAAATGCTTTCTGTAAACTCCCCTTTCTTAGGAACACTTGTATTAAGTTGTAAATTAGGTTAAAATGAACATCAAAAGCCGTCCATTCAGATGACAAGATGTTCTACATGGTCAAGAGGAGAATGGATCCTTACAGATGCAAGGCTTTATGGGATTATTATGTATGCATGAGTTTTTTAATAGATCAGCTAGAAACACTTTTTCACCTACATGTTGTCTTGATCTGTGGTGCTCTGTATTGCTCTTTATATGTGTTTTAATCTGCCCTAAGGAAGCTTGGCCTTCCAGACTTAGAGTTTAAGGTTTTCCTATCATCTGACTCACCATATACCCCATTAGCCCAGGGGTATATGGCACATTCACAGACCTCCTTGTTTTCAGTCCCATGAAACCACTACACTGATCCCCCTTCTCTTGTTCCTTCCCAGATTTTTGCATGCAGCCCCCGGGTCTTTCTCCATGAGTTTCACATTGGATCTGGTCCCCTGCACTGCTCAAATGAACACATTTGTATAATGCCAGAGAATGCAGCCCAAACTGGATCTTCTGTAGTTTTAACACATATTTTGTTTTCTCTATGGTCACAAAACAACACCCTTTCTAGCACTTGTCTCATCCTATACAATGCAAACTTGCCCAATAATTGTATCTTTTGTTTAAATGTATAACCATATTCTGCTTGGCTTTGGTATGTAGCAAGTGTTCAGTAAATTTCCTTAAGGAAAGTCAATGAAGAAATTTTATAAAACGGCCTAGAGAACATCAAATGTTAATTTCCATAGTCCTAGATCTGTTCACTCCCACTTGACATCAAATCTCTCACAAATAGTTTCCACAGAAAGGCCTGTTAGCCTAGCTGGCCCATTTTCCTATGACTTTATTCATTCTGAATGGCATATCAGAATTCTTAAGTGTCATGCCTTTAATAAAAGTTTCACTAAAGCACTGGCTAGTTTCTGTAGAAGGAGGAGGGTTGGCATATTCACTCCTGAGGGCCAGCCAATTTCCACTACTAACGTTCAGTCCACTTGCAGAAACAAATAAGAAATTGCAAGCAAACAAAAAGAAAAAGAAAAGAAAAGACTGCTTACCAAGATGTTGACATGAAGCTTGATAAGAAAATGCTTTCTCTTAAAACTCAACTTGCGGATTTTAGCCCAGTTGAAAGTATTGATCTTTGTATTTCCCTACAATGAAACACAGGGCAGATTTCAGAAGGCGTCAGCATGTGCTGGTTTGTAACCCAGCACGAAGAAGATAGAAAAATGTGCTTCATGAATGGGACCATCTTTGACTCTTCAGCCCAGCCCTTGCAGAGACTGATCTTTTCCATTTGAGGAGATGCTATGACCAAGCATTCTAGGTGGGACAGGAGGCTGCTCTGGAATGCCGTGCTTTACTCTTTTCAGGATGTTTGTCTGTTGGTCCTTCCTTTGAAAAGCCTCCCAGTCCTAGCCCTTTGGCCTGGACAACTACCTCACATCCCAGCTTAAATGTTAAGCCTCTACATGTGTTACTTGAATATCCACGCTCCTGGCACAAAGTACACCACATTTGCTTGTTATTACTTGTTTAGTGATCTGCCTTCTCCTTATTGGAATTCAAGTGCCACAAAGTCAGGATCATTATTGTTTATTTCTGTAACCCTAGTAGTTGTCACAGTATGGTGAAACAATTCTTTTTGTCTTTTTCCTTTTTATCGGTACCGGGGATCGAACTCACAACTGCCTGCTTGCAAGGCAGGCACTTATGCTGCTGAGCTAAATCCCCAGCCCCAGTTGTCACAGTATGGACGAACAATAAATGTACTGAAAAAAAGATGCATGAGTCATGGCATCTCAAGGGAGATGAATAACAAAAAGGGTATATGAGTACACCATATTTTGGAGCCCTCAAGGTGACTCTGGAGGATTTGGACAGTGTCACAGAGCAGGCTGTTTGCATGCCTAAATCCACTGGTATGGAAGTGCCAAGAGCCTCTTTGCATCTTCCCACCACACAAGCCATTAGCCCGATACATGTGTGTTTCAGAACCAAGACAGTGACAGGCTGCGCATGGAAGGAATGCACACTGAGCGGGGAGGGCTTACCCAAAACACACCCAAATGTTACTTCCTTTTCTAACTGGTGCTAAGACTGAGTGTGTGATCACCTTGGGAACAGAAACCAAGTTGGAGTCGAGCTACTAGCCACCTGGCCAGGTAAAGGGCTTGAAAGGAAAAAGTTGTTACCCGCAATACCAGCACGCCCATGTGAGCAACAGCCAGGTGGATCTGCATCCCTTCGCCATCACTGGCAGGGTGAGGCCTGATGCCGTACATATCCAGCTTCCTCGCGATATCCAGCAGCAGAATGTCTGATTCAGCCGGGCTCCTGCCACTGCAAGGGAAAAGAATTTATGAGCCTAATAAATGCAGCAGGAATGACACTTCCACCCCAAGAGCTCCATGGAGATTGGCATTTTCTTGAGCCTGAAAAATTTCAGGCTTAAGGGCTTGCTTTTAAGTGTCTGTCCCTGTCTTTCACGTCCTCCACTAGAAAAGCAGGTGTCAGATAAGTACTTACATGTGCTTCTGATGGAAGTGTACTATCTTGCCCTCTAAACAGTCTTGGTTTGGTAAGTATCGGGTTTGTGCCAGATGTTTCCTAACTGTTTCTTCATGAAAGTCTCCCAGTTCTGCTGCAGGATGGAAAAAGGGGCGTTTTTCACATTATCATTGAAAATTTAAACAACAGGGTACCCAATAAACCTTCTGACCTCCCCCTCAAACAGCGTTTTCATTGGAACCTGTGTGGCGTCACGTGTGTTATGCCATGTATATATTATTTGTCTTTCTATAAAAGACCAAGTGGCTCTTTTTCAAATCAGGAACAGTGGGCTCCTATGAAGTCTCATCAGTACAGTTAATTAAGTTACAGACCCAGTACAGGTTTTAAATGCTCCAAGATCACAGTTGAAAATTTTGCTATTTTTCCCTCTTGCATTATTTTCTATGATCACTCCACCTTTGTCATATCTGTTACAAGGTAAATTTTGTCTACCCTAAATTCATGCATCAAATTCTGAATCCACAATACCACCAAGTATGTCTCTTTGGATTGAGGGCTTTTTTCAAAGGTGACTAAGTTGAAATGAGAATATTATGGGGCATAATCCACTCTCACTGGTATCCACATGAAAATAGGAAACTTGGAGGAACACTAGGGACGTGAGGACACAGAAAAAGGACACAGCTAGAGACAGCCACCTGAAAGCCAAGGAGAGAGGCCTCAGAAGAAACCAGACATACAAACCCCTTGATCGCAGACTTTGAGTCTCCAGAATGGCACAAAAATACATTTCTTTCACTTAAGCCACCTAGTTTCTGGTATTTTCCTATGACAGCCCTGGTAAAGTGATACTTCCCCTATGCTACTCCACCCTGATCATACATTATCGAAAAATGAAAATAAAAATGCTAACTCTAATGTAAGCCAGTCACAACCGATTCATCACTCTGTACATTGGGAATCTCTTTAATCCCCAGATATCTGGAATTCCCAGTAGATGAATCATTCTAGAAATCATTCTAGTCTTTCCAAATAGCTGGCAGTTTGTCCATGATAATAATTTAACCTTTTCTAGATAACTCTAGTTGATCGTTATAAACATCTATTACAGCAATATCCCTACACAGGCAATTGAAATATTTAGGATTATCTGCTCTAATGTAAATACCCTTAAAATGCTTTGGCTTTTGAATTATTTTGTCGTCTGTATAATTTTCATGTTTGTTCCCCATCTAGCAGGTTTATATTAATTACTTTCTGGTCATTGACTTTCCCTCAAGTCAAAGTTTAGAACAATTTATTCTAAATTGGTACTTCTAATTTAATTTAAAAGAGAACTAGATACCCACAAATCTTAGCAGGGTATGTTCTGTAAGATGATATTCTTCTTGGGTTGAACAAAATGCACAGACAATAGCGCACCAGGTTTGATTGCTTGAAGACTGTTTTTTTTTCTTTGTTTTTTCTCTTCTGCCTTGGATTTTTGTTTGTGTTTTAAGTAGAGGATATGCAGATTTTTAGACAAGTGAGATGTATATATACTTTAAAAATCACAATATAATGAAATTTTCTGTATAGGAAATATTTTTAAAAGCTAAATAAGGGGGCTGGGGATTTAGCTCAACGGCATAAGTGCCTGCTGTGCAAGCGTACCATCATGAGTTCCATCTTTGATACCCAAAAATAAAAAAGGCTAAGTCGGAGGCTTTATTTATTTACCAGTATTGATAAATGTACAAATTATGTCCAAATAAAATCAAACCCAGATAGCATCACTGATTAATTCTGTCAAATATTCAAAGAAGATATAAATTTAAATTCTTCATGAACATTTTTAGAAAGCAGAATAAGGTATATTTATCAATTCATTCTCTGAAGCTGGTTTTACCCTGATAACAAAACCAGACCAAGCTGGTCTTACCCTGATAACCAAACCAGAAAAGAACATCATAAGAAAAGTATATATCACTATCCCTCATAAATACAGAGGCAAAACCCTAAAAAAGTACTAATAGTCTGAATATAGAAATTTATAAAAAGGATTATACCTCATGACCAAGGAGGATTTGTCCTAAGATTTCAAGACTAGATTAACATATGAAAAACAGTGAATGCAATAAACCGTGGTAAGAGAATAAAAGACAAAAGAAAAAAAAAAAAAACTCACCATACTTTATCACCTGAATAGATACAGAAAAAATATTGGGCAAAATCAAACACACATTCATGGTTTAAAACACTCAACAAATATGGAATTAAGGGAACGTTTTCGACCTGAAGGAGGTTGCCTATATAAAACCTGTTCCACTTGGCAAGAGACTAAATGGTTTCCCTTAAAACCAGGAACCACAGAAAGATGTCTGCTCTTGTCTCCTCGCCCAGCACTCTACTGGTGGATCTAGTAAGAACAGTCAGGCCAGAAGATATATAAGGAATTTTCCCTGAAAAGGAAGAGATAAAACTGTCTTTATTTGGAGTCAACATGATTTTATTTGTACAAAGCTCTAAAAAAACCCACAAAACTACCAAAACGAATAAGCTAATTCAACAAGTATACAAGATAGGTCACCACACAAAAGGTAAATGTATTTGTATGAAGCAGCAAGGAAAAATCAAAAATGAAATTAGAAAATAGTTCCATTTGCAATAACAGCAAAGAATGAAGTATTGAAGAAAAAATTCAACAAAACAAGTAGTATTGTTTATTGAAAAGTACAAAATGTTGCTGACAGGAAATTGTAAAACATTTATATAAGTGAAAAACTATTTCAGGTTAATGGACTAGAAGGTTCAATATTATTCAGATTGCAATATTTTCCCAAATCGACCTGAAAATTTAATGCAACCTTTACCAAAATGCTGGCAGACTTTATCTTTGTTTTTTGGTAAGACATACAAATCTAGCCTTGCCTGAACAATTAAGTGACTCAGTGAGAACCTGCCCACAGTGGGGGGGTGTGGGACTCGAGATGTATCTCCATGCAGAAGTCTTGGGTTCAATCCCAAGAACAAAAATAAATAGGAGTTTTAGTCTAGGAGGGCTTCCTCCTGTGTACTGATCCCCTTGTCGTGTTAAAACAAAAGCAAGTAAGCAAGAAAGAATGAAAGCTCTAAAATTTACATGAAAATGCACAGCATGGAGACTAATCAAAACAATTTTGAAAAGGAGAAATGAAACTGGAAGACGTTTTCCAACATATTCCAACCATTTCAAAGCTTACTACAAAGGTCCAGCAATCCAATCAGCAATCCCAACAGAGCAGTAATGACAAAAGGATAGACATTCAAATCAGCGTGGCATAATTGAGAGTCCAGAAATAAACTTTTACATTTGTAGTTATTTGTTTTTTGACAGATAAGACAAGACAATAAGGAACTTGTAGCCTTTTCAACAGATAGTTTTGGGACAAAGTGACATCCATGTGGCAAACTAGGAAGTTGGATCCCTATTTCATGCCACACACCATGCAAGAAATAACCCCAAATGAATCCCAGACACATATCTGAGCTTCAGGCCTATAAATATTTTAGAAGAAAAAATATTGTGATCTTAAATTAGGTGAAAAGTACTTATACGTAAAATAAAAACACCATCCACTAAAAAAAATTAGAACGCTTTTAAAAATTGTACTTCAGAAGACAGCATTGGAAAAATGAAAACTCAAAGGACAGATTGAAAGGGAGATTGAAAATCACCTAGCTCATAAATCAAAATCTGTAAGAATTTTAAATAGTTCAATAGTAAGAAGCCTATGCTATAATATGCAATACACTGAAGTGGCATTTTACCAAAGAAAATAGCAATATGCATATGAAACTGTATTCAGCAGCATTTATCCTTAAGAAATGCTAATTATAATTGCAGTGAGATACTTTTTCATACCCATGAGAGTGGCCATAACTAAAAAGACAGACAATACAAAGTATTAGTGAAGATTTGGGAAAGTGGAAGCTTCACATTTCTGTTGTTACTGCAACAATTTGGAAAAAAGTGTGGTAGTTTAATTAAAATGTTCAACATAAATTTACCACTGAGACCTGTCAATCACAGTCCTAGGAATTTTCTCCAAATAAATGAAAACATCTGTCTATACAAAGACTCATATGCCAACATTTATAGCACTACTGATAATAGCCAAACTGTTAACAATCCAAATGTATATGACCAGGTGAATAGATGTACGGAATGTGATACATCTGTAAAATGGATTACTACTCAGCAACAGAAAGATTGAACCAGAATATGCATGAATTTCAGAAACACAACATCAAGTGAATAAAAGCTGGGTACAAAAGACAACTTATTTCATCATTTCATTTACATGAAAGGTCCCTAAAAGGCCACCGCATGGAAAAAGAAAGTAAATGAGTGGTTGTCTGGGGCTGAGCATGGGAACAGGGAGTGATTGCAAATGGGCCTGAGTGAGAGATCTCTTGACATTATGGAAATGTTCTGAAATTGGGTTGTGGTTATAATTGTGCAGCTCTGTAATTATATTAAAAATCATTGCACTGAGCATTTTAATTGAGTGGATTTTATGGTATATCAATTATACTTTAATTGAGCTATTGTTAAATATATGTCACACACACACACACTCACATACACCAATCTTTCTGGTAATTGAACACAAGACCCCACGTTGACCTTTAGGAAAACACGAGCACACATAAGACTGTAATTGTTTTTTTCCCCCTATGCAAGAGTATGACAATCTGGGAAGAGAGCTACAACATACAATTGAGTAAATATCACCAGACAAATGCTATCAGCATTCTCGCTGTTACCATGCTGGGCCGAATGACCAATATCTGTCTTTTCTGCAATTTCTTTTTCTAGTTCTCTTCCTTCTACCATTTCTTCCTAAGGTTGGTCATTTTCATCATAGCAGCCAACATGATTCTTTTCAAACCTAATTCAAGTCAGATGTGGTGGTGCACACCTTTAAATCTCAGCTACTTGGGAGGCTGAGGCAGGAGGGTTTCAATTCTATGCCAGCCTGGGCAACTTGACAAGACGCTATCTCAAAATAACATTTTATAACGGGGTAGGATATAGCTCAGGGCTTTCTGGTTTTAATTCACAGTAACACTAAAAAACCCCAGATCACTCCTGTGAACTACTTCAGTGGCTCCTCATCTCATTGAGAGTCATATTCTAGGTCTTTAATATATTTTCGGGGTTGTCTATGATTATTGTCTCCTGCTGTCACTCAGCATGCCTCAGCCTGGTACGCTGTCACTTTAGACCTTCTGCCCAGGATATTCACTCTGCCTAGTACACTTTTCCTCCAGATTTTGCTGCCTGGCTTGCTCTCTGTTCTCCTTTAAGTCTTTGTTCAACTGTCACACTCACAGTAAGGTAAGTCTTGCCACTTTATTTAAATATTCAACACATACCCCCTAAGCCCCCAGCTCCTGTCCATGTTTTATTTTTCTACAACACTTTTAACTCCTATGACATACATTGTATCACTGCTTTTATTATTTGGGTCTCTGTCTCATTTTCCTTCACTGCCAAAATGTGAGTTCCTTAGAGCTCTGTCTTGGTTCACTACTGTGTTTTTATTTTATTTTTTTATTTTTGTTTTTGTTTTGTCTTTTTATCGGTACCTGGGATTGAACTCACGACTTCCTGCTTCCAAGGCAGGCGCTTATGAGCTAAATCCCCAGCCCTCAATACTGTGTTCTTAATGCCTATAATAGTATCTAGAGCACAGTAGGTACTTGATAAATTTTTGTTGGATGAATGACAAAGAAGAGTTACTGAGAGTTTGCGAACAGAAGGAAGCTTTATTGGAAATGTAGGGATTGTAATTAAGAGAGAGTGTCTAGTCATAAGAGAAAAGAGTATAAATGATATTTAAGCAAATGAGGTCAGAATGTGAGGTTCCTGAATAGCTAGAATACATGTATAAGACAAGAACAAATACTGGATAAATGAATAAAGGAGAAGATAAATGAGCAATGTGACTATGTTCTGTGCACTATCTTACAGTTCAGTGAGGCTGACCAGGATGGATTGTGGAAAACCTAATTCTGGAACATCCCCTTTCCCAGGGAGAAACTTTCCACAGATAAAATAACCTCTGGGAAAGCTGAAGTACTCTGTACTATGCCTTAAATGGCCACTAGGGAATGCCAAAATCCATAGGCAGAACTGTGAAGAGTGAAACTGAGCTCCTCCAAAAGAGGGCACTGAAGAGACCCCATCCCATGACAGCTACCTTAAGAGCTAGCTAGTGGAGATGGGCATTTTTTCTGTTACGTTTTACATTTTGTGTCCCATGCCTCCATGCTAAGTACGTTAGTGGACACATGATCAGCGACCTTGGCATTCAAGATCCTTCAAAATGATACTCCATTTCCACTGCCTCTCTTAAGTAGATATACTGCATCATATATATATATATATATATATATATATATATATATATATATATATAATATTCCTGTTCCACTATTTATTTCATGCAGCTCTCTCTGCTTATTATGGCCCATTCAATTCTGATATGTCCCTTTAAAGCCCAGCACAAATGTCACCTTCTCTTTCGGCCTTCCCTAAGTGGTATTGTTCTTACTGCCCATTACCTTTCTCAGATCCCAGGACTCTCTTTACTTGTCCCAGCCAAGAGTCACTTGATAAACACAGTCCACCTCCAAGTGCTGCATTCCCATGAAATCAGAAATCTACCATTTATGGACTTGCAGAAAGGTAAGGGACAGAGGTCGAGAATGAATTTATGAAACAAACAAAAACTAAAGTTACGATCCTGCAGGATTAGTAAGGAACAGTGTATTCTTGGAAGGCCTCTCTAAAAGCCAGAGAAAGTCCAGCTGGCTTTAGAAGAGATGCTATCTCTAGCAGCCTAGACCCTACCCTTAGGGCTGCAGGAACAGCCTGGCCTGCCCAGTGTCACCCCCTCTCAAGCAGGCCCCCACTGCCCCCCAGGCCTCCTTCGGCAGGCCTTCTTTATTCAGGCTAGTTCAACTTCTTGGCTGCCAGGATATGGGGAACACTAATAGATGCCTGGGGCCTTTTTCCCTTTTAGCCTCTCTGCACCTGCTGTACTCTGTGCTTTGTTCTCTGCAATTATGATAAAGAGCAACACAGAAATCGTATTGAACATGACACTGTGCTGTAGACAGCACGTACCAGCCATGTATCCTGGGGGCAGGCAGAGGCACTTGGAGCTTGCCTGGCAAACTGTGCCCAGATTTGTCCAAAGCAGCTCCTGGCCAGCAAGCCCAGGGGCAGTGGGAGGGGAAGGTTGAACAGAGGTAAAAGAAAAATCAGCATTTACTTAAGCCCACAGAAACACCTTGTGAGAAGGTATTTCTCCCACAATTTTAGAAGGCGTAACATTTATGTTTAGAGAAAGAAGGAGACTTTCCCTGCCACAGTTAGGGAGCAGTTGATACAATTTGATCCAAACCCCAATGGCTGCAGTGAAGCAGCCCTTTTTTCTTGTTTAGCTCCTCTCAAGCTGACACGGTGCCGTGCAGGTTGGGGGTATTCAGATCCTTGGCTGGTTTCTCCACCTAGCTGAGGGTGTCCCAAAACAGATATTTGTTACTTACATTGGAGGATGTGCGACACCATCAGGGCTGTACAGTTGTCACTGCATGGAAGCCTTCCTACAGCCAGATCCTTCTTTATCTGAAGAGTAAAAAGATACCTGAAAAGAAATTGAGGGAAACCTTTTGACAAAGAAACAGGAAGAAGAAAAAGGAAAAAAAATGCATTCCCCTTCTCCCAGATCCAAGATGATATGAGAGGAATGGCACCGCCAGTCACATGCCTTTCGGTGATGATGACTAACACACAGGCTTTTCTTCAGCCCTAAGCTAGCCCCATACCACAACTCCAGCTGATTCAGCATTTTGGCAGGTTTCATAGCCATTAGGAATCACCCTGGCCAAATTCTGCTGCCAACTTGAGGGATTTGGCCAATCATCCTCTGGTGGTTTCTGCCATGTTGTAGCAAAGCCACATCCTGAGCTAGAGAGAAAAGCAGACCCACCAAAAATGAGTGTGCTTGGGAGGTCAATACTGCACTGTTTCCAAAGTGCTTGTCAAACTCTCGCTGTCTCAAATGAGGAGGTGGGTAGGGCAGGAATATCACCCCACATTACAGTTACAATTTGTTCACCGCAAACAAAGAAGACTTTGGTGATTTTGAAAATATGCCATCACCCACAGATAGTGAAACTGGCTATAACTTAGGTCTGCCACTGAAATCAGGCTGCCTGCTGTGCAAAAGCTTGTGTTTTAGAAATCAAGGACCTGAGGCCGTCCTCCTGTTGGTGTCATTCCCTTTGGCGGCACTGCTATCTCTGTATCACCAGAGCTTAGCACAGCGCTTTACACAGAGTAGGTATGTAATTAAGGCTTACTGAATGGAACTAAGCCAGACTGACATTTTTCCCACTGAAGCCTCATCAGACACCCATAAAATTCAGGTTGGAACTCAGGGTTCTGCTTAACAGACAGCATTGGTCTTACACATATAAAGCCTTGTCAAAGAAAAACTGAATTTGAAAACCAAAATGTGTACAACAAAGACTCCACTACTGACTACTTTCTTCCATGTTCCAAAATTGATTCCAACATTTTATTCGGTAGCCAGTTAAGCCTTGAAGGCAATATGGTAGATCGAAATTAATTGCACATCAGAGATAGAGATCTAGAGAAAAAAACTCAGCAGGTGATAATTCAGTTTATGAAAACATTAATCATTATAACCCTTCAAGCTGTGAGCTGCTCTAATGTATTAGAAATGATTCTATTAGAAAAATTTTATTTGTACACCACTCTCGGAAAGTCACCTATTATTCTCACAAACTCAACTATAATTAAATATTTTACAATGGTCAGGGATTTAACTCAGCAGTTTAAGCGGCTGGCTGGCAAGCATGAGGTTCTGAGTTCGATCCCCAGTCTATCTATCTATCTATCTATCTATCTATCTATCTATCTATCTATCTATATTCTTAAATGAACAAATAGGAGAAAATCAAAAGAAGCCTAACTTTGACCATTGCCTGTTTCAAATACAAACTTATGTGAGAATAAACAGTTCTGTTGCTAAAGGGAAAATAAATGTATTTTGCTCCTCCAGAGAGAGAAAGGAAACTACTTATCACTTGACACATTCCTTGCTGTGAAGAGGGCAGCTGCCTGGTACAAATACCAAGTCCTTACTCTGAACAGCTGATGCTTCATGAATCGTTTATCATCACCTTGATTTGCTCATTTTTTGAGAAAGTTTCTCTCTATCAAACTTGGTCATGTTTAGAACTCAGCTGAAAAGAGTTGGCAAATGCAAACTGATATAGATAAAAAGGACATCAGATTGTCTGGGAGAGTGGTCTGCAACTCATAAATGTGGAGTGAATTGAGGGAGAAAGGGGTTCGTGAAAGTGACTTCTGCAAAGACCAGAAGGAAGATCACCCTATACAAAAAGGGAGACGATGCCCAGGCTGTGAACCATGAATGAGGGGGGACGTTAAGGCGAGTAACTGCCAATGTCCCACGATCTTTGCCAAGTTGCTATAGCCCCCAGAACATGATTACTCATCCATAAACCTAGAGGGATGGACTAAGGTATCTCTTAGGTTCATTTTTGTGTAAAAGTCTAAGTTGAGCAGGCAGAATAAGGCTTTGGGGAGTGTTATACTGACGACATATTTTCGTAGACGCAGTTTCCTATTGTGATCCTGCAGGGCACTTTCCTATGTACAAAGAATCATCATGTCAGCATGCTTCACTTCCTACTTCTGAGATACATCCTCATACATGCCCTTCTCAGTGTCTGTGGAAATCAGCTCGCATCATAGCTATGCTGATTGGGGCAGAAGCACCATGGGAAAAGAGCATGCTTGTTACTGTAGCAGGTAATGGTATGTCCACTAAGGGGTCACCTAGCTCTGCTAGCCCTTCGAGAACACCACCCCACTTCTCCCTGAAATTCTAAACTTTCAGAAGATCAACAGGTCAGCCAGGCTTCCCTTCATCAGTTCCACACTATCTCCTGAGAGTGACTAAAAGCCAAGCCTTGCAAGAGACAGCTAGAAGCCCCTTCCCTGTTAAGTGGAGAATGGTGATTCTCAAGTAGCATCATGCAGCAGACACACGGGTAGGTACCATACCTTGTAAGTTCTTCCCGAAGATGCCCAGGGTCCACTGGGAAAAATTTCACCATAAATTTGAAAACAACCTCCTTAGGATCTTAAAACACAATATCTCCATAAGTTTTATTTAAATATAAATCACAACAGTTACAGGTCTTTACATACATGCACACACAGAGACACAAACCTCTGCACTTCCCTCCCCTCTCCACTAGTCCTTCTCCCTGAGTTTTATTTTAAGTCTCAATTTTTCACATGTCACAGGACTGTGTCGCCATGTGGACAGCAAGTGAGAAAATTCTTCCACCCATTTCCTTCATTTTTTTTTGGTTCTTTTTGTAAAGATGTGCCCCTTTGGATCTTGGGACAATAGTGCTAAGTAAAATAAACAAGTCCCAGAAGGTTATCAGATGGTTCCTCCAATAGGAGAGACCCAAAATACAAATACGCTCAAAAGTAAATAAAAGAGAGATGATAGGAAACAAGGAGGTAGATTCTGGAGACAGGAAGGGATCTACAGAGACGGAGAGGGTGGTGGGGGAGTAAAAATGACCAAGATGTGTTATGTGTGTGTACCAATCCCCTAAGGTGAATGCCATTATTATGTATAATAAAATATACTATCAAAAATAAAAAGGTGTGCCCCTTTTGGGCCTACTATGTGCTCTTTGAAGCAGTGTCCTATTCAGAAAAACAGAGCCTATTCAGAGCTACTTCGGGCTCTGCATTGCTGAAGTGTCCAGTTCAGCTGTGATGAATGAATATCACCTGGCTTCAGGAGCTTGTAAAGGGAACCAGAAGAAGTGGGGACCAATGTCTCTGTCTTCAAACATACATTTAAAAAGTGCATCTACTCACTCTCATGTCCACTTGGATTAAAAAATAAGAAACTGCGGTCAGGGATGTAGCTCAATGGGATGGTGTTTGCCCGGCATGCAAAAGGCCCGAGGTTCTATCCTCAGGAATGCAAAAAAAAAATTTTTTACGTCAAAATTACCCACATACTTGCAGCATTAACATGCATTCAATAAATATTTGTTGAGTGCTTTTTATGTGTCAAGTATTGTATGACGCAGATATTGGGGGCTCCACATCGGCTAGAAGAGACATGCATCAGATAGGCGATTAAACCACAAAACGTTTCTCAGTATTGGGAAGCACAGAGGAAGAAAAGAGTTTGGGGAAGGTCAAGAAAGTCCTCCCAGAGGAGTTGATACCTGAGTAGGGCTATAACATTTAGTGAATCAAAATACGGGACTCAAATTCAATCTGAATTATAATTAAACACTACTATAGGGTGTATTTATACAGACTTTTTCCTTTATCTGAAATTCCAACTGAATTGAGCATCCTGTATTTTATCCTTGAAGCCTACACCTGCAATTAGTTTTATCCAAGTCAGAATAGGAAGGACTATACATGGTTCGTGGCAGAAGCTAGAAAGGTGGTCAGAGTTGGGTGCTTTGGGTGTCCAGTGAACAAGACCTGCCATTAGTCTAGGGGTTATAGGGAGCCATGGAAGCTTTTTAGGTAGGAGGGTAGTGTGATCAAGGTAGCATTTTCAGTCAATCCCTCTGTGAGTAATGTAGGTGATATGTTGGGAGGAATCAGTTTAGAAGCTATCTGAATAATGTGACAGATGATTATCACACAGAGGGAGCAGACAGAAATATGAGAAGAATCAACATGCAAAGCCCAGGTTGGGGAAGAGGAATCAGGAAATAGAGAGACTGAGACAGTATTTCTCAAAATACTGGTTAAAGTCCACCTGCATCAGAAACACTTGGGGAATTGGTTAGCCATGCAGGTTGATGGTACTCAACCCAAAAATGAGGATGATCAGAACCCCAGGTGACCCGCTAATATGCACTGAAATTTCAGAACCGCTACTGTCGATTGTGAAATATAGCGGGAAATATTTCACACTCAGTAGGCAGCCCAATAAGAACTGAAGCAAATTGGCAATGCTTGTAATGGCCTAAAACTAAAGAATCTTCAGGCAGAGGGAGAGTGGCATTGCAGATTGACATTAAGAATGCTTGAAGATTTGCAGTGGCAGAGCATGAGCTATATTCCTAGAGCCAGTCCTCAGAGTGCCGTAATTACCAGCATTCTTCACATGTACTCAAGGAGCCAGCAGCATGAGCTCCTCATCTCAAGCAAAATTAAAACAATTTTCTAAATTGCAAAACTTACTGAATGTAGAAGAACTGAAATAATCTATGAAAGCCCCTCCCCCATATGAAGGTGAGGAATTGTATAGGGTGGCTGAAATATGTCTCTTTCAAGTTTTAACTCAGAGTATATTCCTTAAATGATTTTCCATACTTACTTTTTGCTTGCTTTGTTATGGGTTTCAGAAGTTCCAACCAAACCTGAAATAACATCAGTGAAAAACTTTGTAGAACATGGCATTTTGTGCAGGTTTTTTTTTTTTTTTTTTTTTGGTTTTTAGTAGCAGACAAAGGTCAACATGAAATAAGCAAATAGTTTTATTTAGATTTCTAAAGGAGATGACGTACCTTCACCACATTCAACCTGCCCCCCTTGTATTTTTCTAACGGCAGTGAACAGTTTTGGTCTAGAATCTCTTTGTTGTTGATATTTGAATCTCTGCTCCCCTGCCTCAGTGGGATGACAGAGGTGTCACATGTATGGCTCATTAGTTGCTACAAAGACTAACAAAATTATTTGGTTCCATATTTGAATCCTGCCATTCCCAAATTCCAGTTTAATAGACCTAATGAGCCTTTCTGGGATGGCGCTCAGACTCTGAAAAACGGGAAAGCAAATTCCACTGCACATTCACTGGTGAAGTCAGGAGTCTTAATTTTCAAGGTGGAGGTCCAGTCTCTGGAAAGTCAAAATAGGTGAAGCGATGACAACTGTTCACAGAGATGAATCAGCGAGTTATGGGGTATTAGAGTTTGTGTTTGGCAAACTGTGATGATGTTTAATAAATGGAGTGAGTTACTAAATTCAATAATTCTTCAAGGGCATAAATGGGTTTTTTTCTTTCAGATGGGGTTGATCCCTACATATCTAGATGTGGACTGCCTTTAGAAGCAATCCTATAATAAAACTGACTTACATTATTTCCAGAATGGCTGCAGAATTCTAATCCAAAATATTCCTTTTCAGCAAGATTGAGGTGACTGCAACTCAGGTTGAACAGTGCTTTTCCAGATGATTTTTGCTAAACAAAATGAAGAGATTGAGTATCTAACGTGGCATTGAAAACACTGTGTGGAATAAAGAAAGGGTCAAAGTAACAAGACTCTTAAGGAGCCATTTCCTTTAAGTACCATTTAGAGTACGTGCTGCTGTCCTTCTAAGTGATGGTTTTAGCGACATCCCCAAAGAAGCCTTAGATTGGTGGACCCTTTTTGAAAAAGAGGCCATATCTGCAAATTTACCCTTCCAATGGACATTCTTAATCAAGGTATCTCACAGGCAGTTTAAATGCTTTCCCCTCAATTGACAGATCTTTTAATCAAGACGTAAATCTGACTCTACTACTTCCCTGCTTAAAATCCTCTATGACTCTCCTGCTCCTCTGCAGGGGGGGGGGGGGCTGGCATTCCCTACCCAGGACCTGCTTGCCCCTCAGCCTCATTCCCTGACCTCTGCCTGCCACTTTGCTTTCTCGTGATCTCAGCCCCTTTGCAGTTCCTCATACTTGTCGGGTCCTGTCACGCTCTGTGTCTATGCTGCTGTCATCCCTAGCACAGCAGCACTTCCCACCTTCCCTTGCTATGGCTGATTCCTATTCCCTCAGCTCCCTGTCAGCTCCCACACGGTCTCTCTGCTTGCCAGCACCCTGGCTTACCTCAAACATGCACTTCTTACACTGGATGGCAGGCTCCTCTCTTAGACAGAACTCCTCCACATCAGGGACCATGCGTTCTTGTTCTTCTTACTCACCAGATCTCAGAACTGTGGAAGACCACCTGGATGACTCTCCTTGACTAAAGAGCAATTATCTCCATTCCTGGCCTTGTCTCTATGTACTGGCATGTGCAGAGCTTGCTAGGTCATGTCTTTATCCCTTCATTGCAAATAGGGCTAGCTGAGGTGCCAATGTGTAATCTCTGAAGCCAAGAGACAGTCCTATTTCCCCACACTATGACTCCCAAAAACATAGTCAAGCAGGGCAGAATGAAGAGCCACTGCTCTATGCTGTTAACAGGGATCCAACTTTGAGATAAGAGGCCATGACTTCCTAGGGCAGAAAAGTTTACACATCAGAGCTGAAATACTAACCTCAGAATATTAGATGTGACCTCAATTGTGTTATACATATTGGTCTTTCTGCATCTTCTTCTCTCTGCATATTTCAGAGGTGCCTTCAGGCCACCTATCTAGACCAGCCCATAGGACTCACATACTTCCAGCCTTTCTCACAGTCACTCATGCTCAAGCCACTCCCTTTTTCACTAGATTTTAATAAAATCTGGTTTGGGCTCTGGGTTGAGGCCTTTGCTTCAGTGAACCATTATCTTAGCTGGATTTAGGGCCCCTTTGGGTCCCCATAACTATAAATACGTCTTAGTGTCTTCAGTCTCACCGTAGGTTGCACTGGAAGTGGTAGATGAAAATTAACTGACTGGAATTCCAATAACTTTTCCATGGATTACAAATAAAAACTTCCTAGACTGAGACGAGGATGGAAAGGGCTCCATATACAGAGCATGCCACACAGTTGGGGCTCTTGAAACAAGAAATTGGTCAAATCCATCATCTGACTCTTTAAGTCAATTTCCTTTTCGAGCTTGGCCCACCAAATCTGCACCCAGAATACCCTGATCACTAAGGGCACACACAGTTCTTTTTTTTTTTTTTTTTTTTTTTTTTTTTTTTTTTTTTTGTCTTTTTCCTTTTTATAGATACCAGGGATCGAACTCACAACTGCCTGCTTTCAAGGCAGGCTCTTATGCTGCTGAGCTAAATCACCAGCCCCCACAGTTCTTTTTCTTCATGAAGCCCCCCCCACACACGCACACAAGCACACACACACACTGTAAGCACACAGTGGTGCCTTTCTTAGCCTTCTCTGAAACAAGAGCTTTGAGAGCTTTCCGTGAACATCTCTCTGAGCTAAGCATGGCAGGGCTAGTCTTCAGCCCTCACCAGCTGCCATTGCTGTTGCAGGGAGGATGCTGATGGAAAAATTAGGCCCTGGCTCATAGCCACAAAGACACTCTACTAACACCAAGTCATGAGGTGCCCAGGGTGCTGCAAAGGAAGCCCCATGCTCAGGAAACATAGCAGGAAATCACCAACCTATAGAATTAGCAACAACCTTGAGAGGTCAGGGAATCCATCCTCTCCACTCCCACCCCAAGGCAAGTACCATGCTGAACAGAGGTAACATCTGGGATTTAATAGCTTCCAGGAAGAAGCCTACCTCACCCGCTTCTCCTGCTGACCATAAATACTTCCTTCTCCCCCTGGACTTCCCTGCACTTGGTTGCACTGCCCAGAGCTCCACCAGCTCAAATTCACATTGGTTTAACCAGGGCCCTATTTTTAAATGCAAATAGGCCACAAAGGGCGAAATCCATTGCCTCCCTAGCATCTGGACAGAGCTGTATGGAGGGAAAAGGGCTTTGATCTAACCTGGGAACTTACTTGCAGCTAAGGTCCAGGAAAAGGGAGTCAGCACTGGGGGTGCGAGTGCCAAGGACAGGTGAGGGGGGTTGAGGGAAGGGTTGCCTGGTCGGGGGAGGGGAGTGCGATTTCTGCCTATGTGGCAACCTTGCCTAGGGCAAGTGCTGACACAGACCATTCCAGACAGATGAAATCGCTCCTATTTTTAAAGTCCTCCAGACAAGGAGATGCCATAGGATTTTTATTATGAAAAAAAAATCTCTAAAAAGAGTGAGATGACAGCAGTACTTTTTCTAACACCAGTGAAATATTTCAGTAATGAGGACGAGTCCATCATGGACTGCAGTTTCTTTGCAACTAATTCAAGAAACTCAATGTTGTTCTTTTTCCCTCTTCATTTTTATTCTTATTTTCCATAGGGACACTTCAACCTCCTCATTGATGCTGCCACCTTCCATGTATTTGTGTACTTAAATGTCTCTGTAGCCACAAGGAATAAATATGAGGCAGTACTTGTAAGGTTTCAAGTCAAGGCTTTCTTTTTGCTCCTTTTGGTAAGCTGCAATAGCATGTTTATAAGAATGATCCCCCTGATTCTTGCAGTGCAGTAAGTGTTACCAAATGGCTCTAGAAGCCTTTGGCATTTATGCACTTGGAGGTCAGGCACACATGGGGCTCATGCCCTCCACCTCTACCCCCGGAACAGGCTTATTGCCCTTCAGTCCTCCCTATATTGAAATTGACCAGCCTTATGGAATGAGTTGTATGATAGGTATGGTCTTCGTTCTGTTTAAACATGTAACTTGTAATTTTTTTTTTTTACTATTGCCTCATTGATCCAATGCCTCAATTTCTATTTTATGATTATCTTTCTCATGACATCTCCTTACGTGGCTTTTTTTTTTCCTGGACTTTTAATTCTCTGTATAGTTGCTCAGTCTTGTTTAACCCACCACATTTCAACATTCTGCTCAACTTCTTTCAAGATTGTGCTGGGGATTCAACAAGGTCATTTACATCAAGGTGTTAGTTCAGTGCCTGGCACATCATATGACATGAGCAATATACATGTGTGCAGATAAAGACAATGAAATGAACATATTTGTGACAGTTTTGTTATTGTAAATGTACAATTTAATTTAAATATGTATAACAAAAATTGCTATGCACAATAAAAGTGTGGTTGTTTCTATGAAAATTAAGTTGATCTATTTTAAACTCAGTAATAGGGAATCACTAGAAATAGGCTGTCAAATTAGTTTTGGATCTGATAGTGGTAAAAGATTGGAAGAGAGAGTATATCAAAATCTAAAAGGATTCTGTACCCAAATTACTTCCCAAGCAGTTACATATCTTTTCTGTATTAAAGCAGCCAACACTGGAAATCACAGATGACGCATTATGGATGTGATTTAAGAAAGACAGACAAAGGAAAGTGCAAGCAAAAGCCTATATCCAGGCCTTTCATCAAAAACTTGACATATGAGCACAAGGGTATGTTTCATGTTACAATCAGTACAACAGTCTCCACTTTAGCTAATTATATTATTTAACTACCCAACAAAGACTGTGGACAACATCGGAGAAATCATTCCAGAGGTGGTCATAGTTATGCATGCCTATAATCCCAGCACTCAGGAGAGGGGGCGAAGCAGGAGGATCCCAAGTCCTAACCCAGCCTTGGCAACTTAACAACTTAGCAAAGACTTTCCTCAAAATAAAAATGAGCTAGGGTTATAGTTCAGTGAAAAGGTCCTGGGTTCAATTCCTAGTACCTCTGCCTCAAAAGAGATGCTAATTTATCCACATACTGATTGCAAAAGAAATTACAGATTATAAAATTAAGATTTCACAAATAAATAGACTGGAACAAAATATATTACATTATAATGATAGCTTAAAAGTTATTTTTACTTTTTCCTTATGTTTTCCAGAGCAACATCATTGATATTATCAGTTGAAAGCTTAATATCACACAAAGTAACTTACAGATGCTTCTGTTCTCTCCAGTGTTGACCCTAATATTCACAGTACTATTATGATGTCCTTAAGAGATTGTTCTCAGTGTCACAGATGATAATCATTCATCCTCTTCTGTGGTTATAAGTTATTTATTTAATCCTAAAAGCCAATTATCTTAGTCAGCGGGACTGCATAACAAAATATCATAAACTGGCAACTGACTCCGAGCAAAATCGATTTGTTCATACTTCCCTAGGTTGGGAATCTGACAGGAGGTTAGCAGCATAGTCAGGTTCTGTCAAAGGCTCTTTCTTGGTTTACAGACAGTCGCCTTCTCCCTATGTCTTCACCTGGGAGTTTAAGGACAAGGAGATCATTTCCTCTTCTTGTAAGGCTACCAATTATTTTGGATAAGGATCCTACTCCAATGCTGTCATGTAACTTAATTACCTTCTAGAGGTCCTCTCTCCAAATAGAGTGCCATTGTGAGTGTGGGCTTCAGCATAGGAATTTTGGGAAGACACAAATCAATTCAGAGCAATGCCCCAACTTGATGGCCATTTTAGTTATCACACATACTCTTTATCACTTTTGGCTATTCCTGAACACTAAATTTGAATAATGAAAATATTGGAGACTTTTTGGAAAGAATGCATCCAGTTACAGAAAGCCAAAGGGGAGTTCCAAGAATGTGCTGAGCACCAGCAATAAATATGAAGAGGCCGAGCATATGGTGGCTGAGAACATGGGCTTTAGGACCAAATATACCTGAGGCTAGTTTGACTCCTCTTCCTATAGACAAACGATCTTAGGCAGGCTCCTTCATCTTACTGCGTCTCAGTTTCCTTGATGGTGCAATGGAAGGGTCAGAAGCCAGGCACAAACGGCTGCATATTATACAATTCCGTTTGTTTGAAATATCTGACATTGGGGGGTCCATAGAGGCAGAAGGTGAATTATAGTTTCCAGTGGGCAAGATGGAACGATGAGTTACTGTTAACTAGAATGAGATTTCTTTTGGGGGTAATAAAAATATTTGAGAATTAGATGGTTGCAATGATTTCACAGTGCAGTGAGTATATTTCAGATCATTTAGTTATATAGTTTAAAAGGATTTTTTTAAATATGTGCTTTGTATTTCAATTTCAAAAAGGGTCATAGTGAGCATCTAATGGATATCTATCTTTCTATAAAGTAATTTATGTAGTGTCTGGCCCAAAAGAAGAACTTAAAATGTGTTGACAATTAGTGAATGACCATTTAATTTCTCAAACAAACGGATAATTTGAGGGTGATAGGGACAATAATAACAATTACATTGTCACAACA